ACCTCCATATACGGGCTGTGGCATGCACATACAAAATTAATAGAGAAATGTGATCAAAGTGTTTACCCTCAAATCAAGAAAACAGCTTCATGATCCACTGTTAAGACTGGGAAAAGGCAACTCCACAGTGCAGCAAAAGCCAGGATCCCACCTGCATACAGAGGAAATTGTGCTTCTTAAAAGTGTACCTTGAATTTAGTGCCCACTAAAGCTTAATGAGTTCCTATTTCATGTTCCGGAAAGATAAACTATTAAAGTCCTATAGCTACGTCTTTTTAGTATATACAGTGCTCCAGAAATCAATGAGACACTTAGAAGGCTAAACAGGAACATCCTTTACTTATGGAAAACAGGATAAAATAATGCTAAAATTAATCGCCTTGCATTGTTCTGGATGAGAATAGAATGACCTATCCTCCCACCATCAACAGTGAATACAGACTGATGAAGCTCGCTCTCTTTCCTCTGCTGTTTCTAAGAGCCAGGCATTCCCACAGAAAGGGTGCTTCAAACATTCTTGTGTATGACATTTCTGGGGCAGGGGAGGTCCTGTTTGAAACAGATAAAATATCAACCTGGCACCAATTATAAACAAGCTACTGTGTCTTAGTAATAAACCAGAAATTCCTGGTTCACTGATGCAAGACTTATTTTACTTGGGGTAGGGAGAAAAAAAGACAAGCGCTATGTAAGAGAAAAAAAATGGGGAAATTTTCATAAAGTATCTGGCACCACTTCACAAGTGTGATAATGGAAGAACTGTAACGACACATACTTTTTATCTGATCCAAACTTCAGGCAGAGCCCAGGATGTTGTCAGGAGATGGGCCATGGTTGGAGGAAGAAGATAAAGTGAGGAAGACAGGAAAAGGTGGGAAAGCAAAGCAGAGACCTATTCGAATAATTCCTTATTCAAAGCCCACTGTTCCAGGACGGGATCAGTTCAAACAAGATGGATGAAACTCTGTCTCCAAACTTCTCAAGCTTTGTCCTTGTGACAGTGGGAAACCGATCAGCAGGTGCCTTGTTGTTCTTCTAAAAAGGACACAGATTCCTTAATTAAAGTTACCTAAAACTTGGGGAAATTATTCAGTAGGTGGGATTTGCTAAAGATTCCTGAGTTTCATATGGTCTTAAGAGGAAATATAAAGGATCAAGACATCCCTTAATGTGTGTTTTTCCAGATACAGTCATCTAACAAGCCAAGCCATTGTGAGGAAAACATACGAGGCCTGGCAAACAAACAAAATTTGAAAGTTGTTTATTAGGGGTCTCTTGATGGGATTGCACATCCTAATTGCATTGGAATTTTGGTGACTGATTAGTTTGAAAAATGTTAAAGAACAGACAAAATCCTTAAGCTTAACTTCCTTCCATCCTCCCCTCTTTCCTTCCTTCCCTCTTTCCCTCCTTCCTTCCTTCCTTCCTTCCTTCCTTCCTTTTCTTTCTTTCTTTCTTTCTCTTTCCCTCTCTCTCTCCCTCCCTCCCTTCCCTCCCTCCTTCCTTCCTTCCTTTCTTCCTTTCTTTTTTCTTCCTTCCTTCTTTCCTTCTTCCCTTTCTTTCTTTGTTTTGTTTTTCTCAAGACAGGGTTTCTCTGTGTTGCCTTGGCTATCCTGGAACTCGCTCTGTAGACCAGGATGGCCTTGAACTCACAGAGATCTGCCTCCCAGTGATGAGTTTAACGGTGTGCTCCATCACTGTCCAGCTCCAAACATCAAATATATATATATATGACTTCATTTTTTATAGACATGAAGCTGATTCAAAATAAAACCAGGGTTTCTGATAAATTATTAGTATATTTTGAAGCTTTGTCTTAGCCATGGCCTTACTAATGCACAGAAGGGCCTCCATTTCTCCCCATTCATGTGACATTATTCACTACTGTCAAATTTTGAGGCTCCCAGACCCAGGAAGGCGGGGAAAGGTGACTTGGGTCCTCAGGGAATGTTTAGCAATGTCTGGAAACATTTGGGGTTGCCATGGCTGGGCAGCAGTGTCTACAGCTAGTGGGGCAGAAGTCAGGAGTGGATAAACATTGCAGGACAAGCCCTCATAGCACAGGATGATTGGAGAGAATCTGCCAATAATGTGGAGGACGAGCAAGCCTCCTCTAATCCACATGCTGTAATTACCATAAAATTCTTTTAATAATAACTAATTACTTGAATACCCAATGGTTAAAGCTGTATGTGGGCAATACAGGCCATCAGAAGACAGGTTTGTGATTTGAGGGAAAAACTGAAGGTGAAAATTGATTTTATTCATAGGAATTTTTACAAACACATTCAAATAAGCCATTAAAAGAACTTTCTTAGACAATGTGATGGGAAAATGCAGGGAGGAAATCCTACTCAGAAGTCCTGATCAATGACTTGGTTGTGCTCCGCCATTACTTTAATGTGCCATCTAAAGCTCCATCTTATTAGAAGCCAGAAAATGAAAGGCCCAGCATGGGATTAATATGAAGCTTTGTGTCCTCTGCCTTATAGCAGATATGTTTTGGGGCCACTGGAGGGTAACCCAACACTCTGGAAGATACAACTGTGAACACAGATATTTAGCTCCAATGAGGTTCCCTTACTTTTTTATTTCTTGGAAAAATCTATCGAGGGTAGCATCCATTTATGCTGTGGGAATCATGCTGGTTTAATCCCCTTGAGGGCAGTGATAGCTGCCATGGTCTAAGAATAATCCAATAGGATGAGCAAAATCATTTTTAAGGCAATGCTTAAAAAAAAAACACTTAAAAATTGAAAATAGGGAGATGGGCAAGAATGCCATTAAAGTAAGAGAACGAGAGTGTCATCCAGTTCCAACCAGCGGCAGAGGGGCATAGTCATCAAGTCGGCAGGGGAGTCTTCTTGTTCTTCTCAATTCTTCACGGCATCAACCAAATCTAGACAACTTGTTTTTAGTTTCAGCTTCAGAACATTCTTTTCTAAAAAATAAACATCTCTAATGTTACAAATGAATCTGTAGCTGAAACTGTCCAATCAAGGGCATACTGATTCCACCTCTTTAGGGCCTCCTGTCTCTGCTGCCTGAAAATTCAGCCTTTATTTGCATAGGTTCTGCCTCTTGGCCTACTAACTGCACTGAAAATGCCCAGGTTCTCCAAAGCCTCGGTAGGGATGAAGCCTGCTGTGCAGCCGTCACCTGGACTGCAGCCATGCGGTTTTGTTCTTTTCATTGGAAGATCTTACATTTTGAGGAAATGCAAGCTTTAGGAAAGATGAATTGGATGTAAACTATCTCTTCCATATCCTAGTAATCAACATGGTGGCCTCCCCTGCAGACTCCTGCCTTCTGGAGACAGCAATCAGAACAGTGGTTCTCAACCTTCCTAACGCTAGGACCCTTTAATACAGTCCCTCGTTTTGGGGCAACCCCCAACCATAAAATTATTTTGGTTGCTACTTCACAACTATAATTTTGCTACTGTAACAAATCTGCAAAAATAAACCATAATGCAAATATCTGTGTTTTCCGATGGTCTTAGGAAACCCCTGTGAAAGGGTTACGACTCAAAGGATATGAAACACTAATCTAGACCCTACCTGGTTCTCAGAAGTCAGCCTGTTCAAATGAATGCCGGAGAGGGAAGTGCTGGAAAAACAAACAAAAACAAAAACAAAAAAAAAAAAAAAAAAAAAAAAAAAAAAAAAAAAAAAAAAAAAAAAAAAAAAAAAACCTTAGTGTAAGGCCTAAGTCATCCCTTTCCATTCAAAAGAAGTTAACAAAACCGGGACCTGGATGCTCACGTATAAATGCAGGGGTAGCCTGAGGCTCCAATAAAAGGACCACATGACGGAGTGGGGGAGGGGCCTCCAGGTCCTGGGAATCAACCCTGCCACATTCTGCTCTGTTACCACACTGTCATCTGCACACTGAAGACACTCTTTATTTAACTATAGGAGATAGAGAATTTTAGCTCCAAAATATGTTCCCCGTTCAGTGCCTGTCTTTTACTTCTCTCGTTGTTTGTTTCGTTTTGTTTTTATAATTTTTATTGTTTCCCAAGTAGAGTTTTCTTTTCCCAAAGAAGCCTTTAAATCCAGTTCCTACATTGATTTGCTGTGCGCAGCTGGTTCTAAACCCTCCTGTGCATGGCGGTGCTTACTCTTTGGTACTGTCTCTTGGACCCTGGGCAAGCTGCAAGCATCATCCGTTCTCAAATTATATTCACCAAATTCCTGTTTCCAGCAAACAAATGTGTGAGTTTACCTGCCGGTAAACCTTTATGCCAGCTCCTCCCTTCTGAAGCTCCTAAGAGAATGATTGGCAGACTCCCCTACGTACCCTGGCATGGTTTTATGATTCTATATACGCTGCTGCTCTGAGGGTACTGCAGAATTCGTCTGCATGTTAGCAATTCCTGAAGTCTTTGAACAAAATCCTGAGTTAAGGAAAAATCAAGAGTTAGTTGTCGTTTGGGGGTAAAGGAGCAGACTTCTCCGTGGGCTATGATGGTGCAAACTTCTAGACCAAAAAAGCCTCACATACCCAGTTCTGGGAAAACTGAAGGGTTGGGTGCATCCCCTGTCAATCACTATGCTTGGCTTCTAGCCTCACTAAGCAGCAGTAATGCTGATTGGATGCCTACCGCGTGAGTTAGGGACCAAGTAGAAGTTTAACATGAATTAACATCAAGATAGCTCTGAGGAGCAGGTGCCAAAGACATAAAGCAACAGGCAATGAAAGCAGGCTTTCCTATTCCTTACCTCCCAAGTACTTCGAGACCTCGCTGCAGTTTGCACATCTCCCTGGCCAATTTGCCTGCCATTAAGCACCCAGGTCTGAACTGCTAGCCAAGTGGCCCTGGAGGCCCGCTTTGCCCAGCTCCACTGAGCCAGGAGGTGACTCATCCGGCCGCTTCCCCGAGCTCCTTCGGGCTCTGGCAAGCAACGAGAGAGGTGCCTGCCCTCCCACCCAGAGGCCCGGCGGGGCGGGGCGGGGCTCGGCCAGCCAAGGCCGGGAGCGGGAACCGGCAGCGGAAAGCGGCCACCGCCCGGGCAGCGCGACCTAGGCGAAGCGAGGCGAGGCGAGCGGGGCGGGGCTGGGCGCCGCGGGAAGGGGTGGCCGCGCTGCCCGGGAACGGACCGACCCGAGCCGCTCTTGCAGCGCAGCGTCAGCAGCGATGGGGCTGGAGACCGAGAAGGCCGACGTGCAGCTCTTCATGGCGGACGACGCCTACAGCCACCACAGTGGTGTCGACTACGTAGACCCCGAGAAGTACGTGGACTCGAGTCAGGACCGGGATCCCCACCGGCTCAATTCCCATCTCAAGGTTAGTTTCAGCCCGGCCACCACCTACACAGGAGGCTGCTATGGGTCCCTAACTCTCTGTAGGAGGATGCCCCTTCAAGTCCTCCCCAACAGTGGCCACTGGTCCTATTGGCACCCTGTTGACCCAGACACACAACCCTCAGGCTCCCTGAACAACCAGGAATGTTGCCCCAATTCCTGTGTGCCCACGGTTACCCTAGGAAACGCTGGGAATAGTCTACCATATTTTCTGCAGACTTTCCCTGTTTATAGTGCCTCTAGTCCCCCAACCCCTGCAGACAGTTTGGATGACTGGTTGGGTCCCTGTGTCTTGTCTCTGCAGCTAGGTTTTGAGGATCTAATTGCAGAGCCTGAGAATACACACTCCTTTGACAAAGTGTGGATCTGCAGCCATGCCCTCTATGAAATCAGCAAGTATGTGATCTACAAGTTCCTGACCGTGTTTCTGGCTATCCCCTTGGCCTTCGTCGCAGGGATCCTGTTTGCTACCCTCAGCTGTCTGCACATCTGGTGAGAAGGAACCCAGGGGTGGATCTGCCTTCTGAAGCATACTTATGTTTTTGCCACCTGCCCACTGCTCCTCCTATTTCCCCGGCCGGGTTGCAGAAAGAACGCTTGCATTAGTTCCCAAGCAGTAGCAAGACCTGAGGAAGCTTGAGGGGCAGTGTGCTTTCTTTAGAATAATAATAATGGACCTTTAGAATAATAGTTGAGGGTTTAAACAGAAGGAAGCAGGGGCCTCTTTCCCGGGTGTGATTTTTCCTTCCCTGCAGAAGGCTGAGCTGAGTGCGGAGGTGGGGGCTGGAAGGCTGCTTCCTGCCCCAGGCTGCGCTCTCAAGGCCCTGTTGTGACTTGTGCCTGTGGTTCTGGGCAGGTTCTTTCTTCCTTTCATTGCCTCTGATTCAGTCACCATCTGTGCTTGGGCAAAACAAGCGCCATCTCAGAGCAGAACACCACCGCCAGTCTAACCAAGCAAGAACGGCAGGCTTTGGCAAACAGTGCTGGGGACAGCGCCACTCAGCTTTTGCCATTGGTAAAAATGGTAGTAAGGGAACCAGGTGAGCTAGGAGGTGTTGACAACGATGGTGTGGTACACCCACCATGGGTGAATGGAAGCTCAGAGTCTGCAACAATAAAATAAGGCCGTTATATCATCGCTTCACCTATGACGTGCGAATGAATAGGACATCTAGTTACCAGAAAAAGAAATTTGGAAATGCGTCATAAAATGTATAGAGCATTTTCGAGCGCTCAAACTTTTCTTGAGGGAAATAGCACCTTTCTTCCAGAAATATCTACTATTAATCTAAGAATCATCCCCAGTGTCACCAAAGTTCTCGGGTTGGCTCCTCAAGATGGACCCGTGACATGTGTAGTCAGAGGTGCCACCATCCAGTTCGTCACTTTATATGACATTGCCACACCCTAATGCAGTCCCGGTGCTCAGTGTTAGAACTCTCGAATCCACCCCTTCTTTCAGTCTCTAGCTAAGTTCAGCTACTGTTAGCCAGCTAGTTCTGCACACCGAGTCTATTAGGTGCTCTGTCTTACTGAACAAGTGCCCAGAATTTTCCTCAGCTTGCCCACCGCGTGTGACAGGAATGGTGAGAAAGCGCCATTGAACAGCAATGGGGAGACTGGGAAAGGAGGGTTACTTCGTTAATCTATGATAAACATAAATCCAGATGACCAAAGGATCAACAAAGAACACCGATGCAGTCACCTGAGGTTGTAAGCAGTCATGGTGAAAGTGCCCTTGCTTGCCAGAGGAGGCGTCTGCCTTTGTGTGTGTACAGACCCACAGAAGGCAGATGCAGCTGTCTCATCTATGACATCCCCACACATGTCTTTTTCACATGCCTAAATCAACGTATGCGACTGGACGTTCCTAATGAACTAAAGCGGCCAATGCCCTGTCTCAGCCGGTTATTTTTCCACTTCCAAAAATGTGAAAAGCCAAAGCATCCACCAGGTGTTGGGATGCTGGCTCTGATGCTCATTGGAAGCGCAGCGTGTGGGTTTACTGACAGTGCTGTCTCTTCCCACACTTCCTCGGTAAGAATTGGGGGAAAAAAGGAATTTTTCATTTGCTAAATGGTGGAAAGATATTAGCAACACCACAGTGACCCAAAGGAGGCTTTTCTCCACCTGGCTTTCCCGGAGTGGGAGGAGTTTTGCATTTGGCATCCGCTGGTGACTCATCAGCCCACCTTCCCTTTAGACACATGATATGTATTATTTAACCTCAGCTTGCTTTTCAAATTGCATTCATGTGGGACATTAATATTTAACTGTCACCTAGCTGTCATCCGGGAGCTGTGCATCTATGCTTAGATGTGACTTTGTGCCTTGATGGAACATTTTTTATCATTAATGGATTACACACACACACCCCCGACAGACTAGCTAAGTCAATGGGAACCATTTTTAATGAGTAGATTCATGTGAGCAAGACTGGGGTTTGTTTGGTTTTTTTTTTCTTTTTTAGTTGTTTATTTTTTATATTTTTTAAACATGGGATTGGTCATTGTTTAACCAAAGAAGAGGAAATAAAAAAGGGACTTTTAACCAGTCACAAAATCACCACACATCTGATTGTAGATTTTTGCTTTGACTGTGGTTATTGTTTGGGGAGGCGTTTGGTTGGTGGTTGGTTATCATTTTGTTTGGTTGTGAGCACAGAGGCTCACCATGTTCCCTAGGTGGGCCTTGAACTCCTGGACTCAAGGAATCCCTGTGCCTTAGCCTCTCCAGTAGGCAGAACTCCAACTATTCACCACTACAGCTAGATTTTGGATTCTTTGACCAAACACATAACAAAAATTGAAATATAAAAATTGAGTTATATTGGATCTTCAGCCAAAAGTTCAGATCTTTAGGACTTGTGGGATCATTCTGTTTGATGCCTCAGTCAAATGCACTCACCATTTGGCAAATAAGCAAATAAATAAATAAGCCAATAAATAAATGAGCCATAATCAAAGAAATGTGACTGGGGCATCTATACTCTTATTTTCCTGGAACGCAATGCAAACGGGTGTCCAGTTGCTGTAAACACAGTGCTCAGCATCTCATTCTGGGTGCTTTCGGCACACACATTGCTGTGATAGCCCAGTCTTTAAGACACTGCAGTAGATCTCCCTGATCTCAGGCTTTTTACCCAATGGCGGTATACAGATCTGTAGATTATGGCGTTTGCATGAGAAGCATTTGGTTGGCGATGTCGGGCATTTGTCATCAGTCTAAACTGTGTGCAGTTGTACAAAAGAAATGATTCACAATGTTGAGAAGACTCCAATTCTACATCCAAGGATTGTTGAGCTCTCTGACGCAAAGAGAGAATAGCTTGAAGAAAATAAAATGTGCCAGTCATATCCAGTGATGAAATCTTCCAACATGGCAATCGGACTTCGTTGACTCAAAATGTTGAAGTCCCTTTTAGAGGCCACAGATACAAGGGTTATGAAGCTAGAGAAGATTAGCCTAAGGAAGAGCAAATTGATTCAGAGTGAAGTGCATATTTTAAAACAAACTTTCGGATATAAACTTTAGGATTCTATTATTTTGAGGCTCTTTTATTAAATTATTTTTACTATATATTCTGACTTCAAGATAGGTCTGTCTGTTCTTATTTGTTATGTGACAGCAACATGTGGACATCTTAGGGACATGCAATAAGGCTTAGCCCTGATAACTGGTTCTGTAAAATTTCCAGTCTCTTTAATGTGAGGCCATGTGCGAAAGTGACATCCAGGGAGAAGCTTGATGCGGGCGGAGTATAAAGCGAACAGTTGCTCAGCTTTTCGTCATGTGTTTAGTTCTAAAGCACCCATAATTAATTTTCTTATAAAATTGTTTTAAATATTTAGCCATTGGAACAAAACATCACATATAGTCTATGTAGATGGGCAGTAGGAATAATTCAGCGTTCTAAAAATATACCCATCAAACACACAATCCCTGGTCCTTTGAGTTCAATGCAACAGGTCTTTAGTTAAGTAGCATTTTAAGAACAAACCAATAAAATCGACCTCACTCTCAGCCCCCCCCCCCCCCCACGTAATAGTAAAGAACCTCTCCAGTGCCCAAAGTTCACAACTCTTTCATGCTCCCAGGAAGCACTACTCAGAGGATTACACAAAATAGTCACGTGAATGATAGAAGAATAGAAAAAGTATCGAAAGAAAAACTATACAAAAGTGTGGGAATACACCTTTTTTTCTCTGAACTGCACCACACAGCCCTTGTTGGTGAGTGTAATTCCTATGAAAATAACAATATGAAGCAATTCATGACATAAACGATGATAACATGAAGCTGAACAAAATACTAAATGCATTTCCATTCAAATCTTACTAAAAAGTGAACTTTCAGCATATATCCTAAAAGGAAAGACAGAAATTTAAGTATCTACTTACCGGCTTTTTGATAAATTTGAAAATGATGAGATTTGTTTTAGTACACCAAAAGCATCGAGACTCCCACCCAGCCTGGCTAAGAGGGGAGGCAAAGAGGGAGGCCACAGGAAAGGCAGGCAGGAAGTAGATCCTCAGAGAAACAGGAAGTGCTAGCAGGTTAATCTTTAGAAGCAGAGGTCTGGCAGAGAAATAAACTGCTTTGTTTATTTTTGTTTGACCGTTTCCACTAGCGTTCAACCAGCCGAAAGAATATTAACATTTATCATCTATGAGCCTGTTTATTTTTTAAACAGCTTACCTCTTGCACTTCTTATCACTCTGGCCATTGTTCATTTATTTATTTTGAACCATACTAAAGCAAGTTAAGTCATTCTTATATTTGTCCATGCATTTGTGTCAGTCCCCTTGGTAACAGTAGTTGCTAGCGGTACCGCTAACAATGCTTATGTTTCCCTCTTCCCCCCTGCCAGGATCCTAATGCCTTTTGTGAAGACCTGCCTAATGGTCCTGCCTTCCGTGCAGACCATATGGAAGAGTGTGACAGATGTTGTCATTGGTCCATTGTGTGCAAGCATAGGACGCTGTTTCTCGTCTGTCAGCATGCAGCTGAGCCACGACTGACAGCTTGGAGCGCAGGCCCAGATGTGTGGATGCTGTACCACCTGTTGATGTAGCATCAAGCACTACTGCTCTGCTCACTTCCCAGTTGTTATCGTCAAGAAGACTGTCAGGAGGGGACCCGTGTTCAGAAATGTTCACTGACAGATCTTAACAAATAACAATTTCCCCACCATAAGCCAAGGATTTCCTATCTATTTTTATGCCGGTATTAGCAACACTCAATGTAGGAGCAGACAGTTTTTGCTTTAACAGGAAACATACATTTGTGGAGATGACATGATAGTGGTCAAGGGGCAATTTCCTCCAGCACTGCAGTCATCGTGTGCATAGCTGCTCGTAAAAGTATGGGATTTCTTATTTTCCTTTACTCTAGGAGTAAAGCTTTTAAAATTACTTTTCCAGATATCACCAAAAGGCAAGCTAGAGGTAATATATACAAACATTCTAGAAACTTCATGCAGCAGGATAACCTTTAGAAATGCATATACCTATGATAATAACTATCAGATATAATAAGACAAATAAATGTGAAATGTGTCCCCCTGAGATATTAGTCTGTAAGCCTATTTAACAAGATGTTTCATTTTTGCTGTATATTTTTGTACCTAATACAAGTGTTACTCTAATTCAGTTGCTCTAGAATGTTTTTAATATATTTGCCATCTTCTTGATCTCATATATAAATTAACCATCACTACTGCAACTTTCTTTGTAAGATTGTGCTGTCACATATGAGAATTGTTGTAACTTCTTTGGAATTCACTGTAAAATGGACTGTCTAGGTTTCCTGTCTATTCGTCCTGGCAAATGTTTTCTGAGCGTAAGACATGTAGCTACTTTTGTTTACCAGACTTTTTTCTCCCACATAGTTAGGAGTTTAATCTGTATTCTACATTCCTATGAATGCTTCAATTACTTTCAAGTAATTCTGGTGCTAGTTAATAATATTTTTATGACAATGGCTGTCTCTAACATCTAAGTACAATTTTTGCTACAAGGGCTCATGTAGAGAAACATATAGAAGAGTTAACAATTGTGAGGGTTTCTAATACTAAAGTACAAGTGTAAATTAAAAAATAACAGTTACAAATTTTCAAGTGTAAATTAAAAAATAACAGTTACAAGTTTTCAAGATATCATCTGGTATGAATTTTGTGACCTGGAAAACATTATCCTATGGTTTTTCAATTGCCGAGCCCTAATTAAGTATATTCTCACTATATACTTTATGAAATTGGCATGTAAAAAATTATTCAATGAAAATTACTAAAAATATTTTAAGATTTCTAAATCTGATCAGTATTGTGTATGGGTGATTGAATTGGAATTCTACTGAAAACTAGATTAAAAGACCATGTCGGGAACTAAATTGTAAAGGTCATACATTTTTGAAGGTAGTCACAAAAGGAACATTTTAAAATGTCTTCAGAAGAGAGGTCGTAGCCCGGTAATAGCTTCAAAGTGTTGCCACTAACAGGACTATGGAGATTGTATCATCCTGCTTTCAAAAGTCAGTCTCATGGCTTTATATTATTTTTGTAATTTGAGATTTAAACGTTTAGATATATTGAGCAACCAAAAAACTGATAATAAAATACCAATTTAATAAATTATAAGCTTCAATCTTTTAAAATAGTTTTGGCATATTTTGAAGACAATTATGTATAATTATACATCATAACCTTCATTTCTAAAATACATGATTTCCTTTTCCTAAATAGTAGTGATTATTTTCAAGTGAACATTTATTGAAACTTTTCATGAATCATTTTGTATCAAAAACTCAAATTATGGATAAATCAAATCAAAGTTAAGTATGCAAATATGTTGGTTCTTTTATCTGGGGCAGTTGGAATTCAGAGGCAAAAAGTTTCCTCATTATCTAAAATAAACATCTAAAAAGCAGGAAATGAGTTCATTGGTTTTATTATATTTTGTCTTTCTGCTGCTTACTTCATACATCTGAAACTGAAGAGTAAGAACCTTTACAAATTCAGTCCAAGACATTAAGACTTCCAATAACAAGAACGTGAGTTATTGTTCCAAGATGTGTCTGTTGGGAGGAAGAAATGGGTAAACAGTTAAAGTGCTTGCCATGGAAACGAAAGGACTAGAAGTAGGACCCCCAGAACCCACAAAGAAGGCAGGTAGACTTGGCAGCCCATTTTCAGCTCCATCTCTACAAAGACAGAGATGGGATCCTCAGAGCCAGCTGGCAGCCTAGTCTGGTCCACAAGTTCTGAGTTTAATGGAGAAACCCTGCTTCAGTGGATGAGGTGGAGAAAGACTTCCAATACCAAACCTTGGGCCTCTGCATCCATATGTGTGGATGCACAGACACACACACAAGCCTGAGCATATGAGAGAATGTGTGCACATGAGAAAAAAAGAATGTTTCCTTTTCTGCCACTTGATGAGTAATATGCAGTGGCTTGTTCATAAGCCAATCACCCTTAATCTTCGTAAAATCTCATTTTACTAATCCTAAATAAACTACTGTCTCCATTCCTAACCCTTAAATGCAAAAGTAATGACAATATAAATCACATATTAAAATACCTTGAATCCCAAAGTCAGATTTATCCAAAATTATTTTTGGAAAGTAAAGTACGTGAAGGATAATTGCTGATATTGGCACAGACCTTCTTGTGGTCAATTAATGTAATAATAAATCAGATATTTGGCTTTTTAAAATGTTCTTTATGGATTGAAAGAACTTTTAAAAACCATTTTTAATGGTCATCTAAATCCCACTAACTTATTTCCAAGTCTTTCTTAGGAAGTTGCTGCCTGTAGGAAAAGACCCCTGCCCTAGAACTCAGACATATTGGTTCCACCCTCAGCACCACCATGACTCCTTCGGTTCACCTCCTGCAAATGGTTTAGCTTCTGTGTCTTAAATTTCCTAGCTGTAATAAAAAGATTGAATTAAATGGTCTTTTTAATCAAATGTGGAGTTCCAAATCCCACTGTTTTCTAAAACAGCAAGATTTGGGTCTGTTTCTTCTTACAAATCTAGCAATTTAGTACAGAAACATGAATAATAATAATAAGAAGAAGAAAGTAATATAGCTTTTGTCAATTATTCAGTTGGGATACTAAATATAAGTCCATGGGTATGCTTTTCTCTCTCCCACTGATTATAGGAGTCCTTTTGTAACTTTGGATCTTTATGACTGAAATTTCTAGATTTTTATGACCTCTAATACTATTATTCTATTCCTTGAATTAACATGTTCTCATATTTTTAATGAATTCAGATTTATTTGAACAACAGTATCAATGCTTTATCAGTGCATTTTAAATTGTCTCCAAAAGGCTTGTGTCCAGAAGGCTTGGTCACCTACCTGTGGTGCTATTGTGAGCTGGTAGAACCTTTAGGTGTCTGGATCTAGACAAAACAAGTCATGTTCTTGGAAGTGTGGCATGGAAGAGGATATTGGAATCTGAGACCCTTCCTGTCCTTTCCTTTTGCGTCCTGGTTGCCAAGAAGTGGTCAGTTTACTCTACCATAAGTATTACCCTTCAGTACAGCCCAAAGGCAACAGGGCCAAGCAATTGAAGCATCTCAAAGAAAATATGAACCCCAAATAGCCCTCTCCATCTCAAAGTTATCCCAGCTGTTTGCCACAGCAATGGAAGCTGCTTGAGAACCACCCATCCCCATTGCCATTGCCACCATCAGCCCAGATGTCCACCAGAGCCTGCCAGCTGTCCTCACCCTCTGCTTCAATCTCTTCTTCACTCTGTGGGGATCCTGGGATTGTGGCAGTAGCAAATGCATTCAGGCAATGTTTTCTCAATGAATAACTAGGCAGATAAATACGTAAGGAGAATCTAGGGTGCTTGGAGAATCCAGAGTAAGAGTCACGTTTCAACCTCCTTTTTCATTTACAAAAGAAGTGTGAAACAGACCAATTTTGGTAAACATTTTCTACTTGGCTTTTAGTGCTCATAAACCACTATGGGAAAACTAAGCCTTATATAAACCATGTGAGCTGCAGTCCCTCCTTTGGGACAACACCAGTCTTGCTGGTTACTCCGCTCGCTGGTGTGACAAAAAACCCCCAGCCAATACAACTTCATGAAGGGATTATCTTGACTTGTGCTTTAGGAAAAGAAACACTTGGTCATAGTGAGAAAGGTGTGAGAGAGAAGTGTGAGGTACTCAGCCCTATTTGCAGTCAGGAAGCAGGCCAGGAGGCTCAGCTAGAGTACCTATAGGCCCCACTTCTTCTAGCCAGCCAGTCAGGCTCCACCCCCTAAAGGTCTGTAATTTCCTACAGCTCTATCCACAGAAGACCAAATGTTCAAACACGTGACATTCTGACTCAAGCTGGGCCTGTCTTATTCTTCATTGTTTTGCTTGATAACTATTTTTGAACCTTCAGGAACAGGGATCTCTAGAACTTGGGAACTTGATTGTAGACGTGCTTATGGGCCTTTAAGAATGGGAATTCCTTTGCTACTCCATTTCCCGCTAAAGTCAAGTAAAACATGATTTCTGTAAAAGTTTGCCTGTTAGAAAACAGGGCCTATGCATTGTGTCATTTGAGTTCGAGGACAAATTAAACGGCAGTGAAGAGACCATGCAAATGGCTCCATTTCTGTGGTTGCAACGTTAGCTAGCACTGCACAGTGTAAGCTAACAAGAACTTCCAGCCGTTCTGGAGGATCACACAAAGCAGGCAGGAGAAGACTAGATAAAGTCGCAATGAGAACTTATGGCAGCTGGTGCAATGTATCGCGATATAGGACATCTCCTCTGAAAAACAGACCGAGGAGGAGGCGAAGGATGTCAGTGCACTAGAAACCTAGGCTACAGACTTAAAAAATAAGAATAATTTGGGCTCGATTCACCCAGTGTCTTCTCTCTTCACTTCTAAGTAGCAAAATGAGCCGAAGACGGCTCCCCTCGACATATTTTAAAGTCATTTTGTACCCTAGCCTTTCTCTGGGTAACGTCTGAAATGCTACCACAGGGATCTTAACTCTGATGCTTTTTAAGTGGAAAATGGCCTTGAGTGGGGGTCACATTTCAATTGATTGCAGCCTTATATTTTAAACTCCAGTATGAATGGGTAGTCTAAAGGGGATATTGAACACTGCAGAAGGGATCCCAGGAAGAGCCCCGAGTACTGCATGGGGCACATACACAGACCAAGAAGAAAGTCAGGTTAGAGACACAAAGACAGGCGGCTGCAATGGCACTGACCTTAACCCGTCCCGGCTCTGCTTTGGAGACCTCTGCTTCTCATTCCTAAGCGTGGCTCAGTGGAAACTGAATAGGAGTGGAGAGAGTTTAGTCCACAAAAGAGACTTCTTTTTCTCCACAAAGAAGAATTGCTTTTGTCTTATTGAATACAAATGGGCCTGGGAGGGAGCCGAGGGGCTCTGCAGGAACCGTGTCCCCCAAAGACCATCCGGCGAGCAACGCTGAGGATGAAAACGGAAGCATAGCTGTGACCGCTTGTGCCGCTTTCACCTTGCCCTGCTCCGCTGTTGACCCCAGCCATGGTGTCTGTGACAGAGAACGGATACCACAGAGCAGTCAGAGAAATCAGAGGCCATCACTTCCACAATTACCCCGAAATGGGACAAGGACACCTATCTGCCTGCACTTGGACGCGTTATGTTACGCAGCTTGGCTGCACGGCTGGAGAAGTCATTCTGCCATTATGAGAAGAGGTAGGGGTGGGGAGGGATGAGAGACAGGAAGAGACAAGACTCAGTGGGAAGCAGCACGTCGCCAAAGGCAAACGCTCCTCTCCGGTATAACCGGAGCAGGAAGATGAGAGCAACAGGTCACCTCTAGAGTGTTCTTTTCTTTCCCTGCCTCCCAGCCACTTGTCACTGAGCAGGGTCCAGTCACAAAAGGGGAGAGAAGGGCAGAAGGCAGGTCCTGCTTCAGCTCCAGACAATTGCTGTCTCATCTAACTGGGGCAGTGAAACAAGGAGTCGTTTGGGAAGTTGCAGGGCAGAAGCAGGCTGTTTTTCAGGCAAAGAGTAGCATGCTTGTAATCCTTCATGCATACATAGCTGAGAGTTGCACTCTCAGTATAAGCAACGACAGGAAAGTGTACATTGGATAAGCATTTAGGAACTGGGAGCTTCATCTGTAACTTATAGCATGGATTCTATTGTCCCTGTTTTCGAAATGATGAAAATGATGCCTGGAAGTTGAGGGATTTGCTCAAGATCACCCCTGAAATTAAGATTTGAGCCAAGATAATCTGACACCAAAGCTTGCATTTGGGGGACATCTGCTTTCCCTAGAATGCTGTGTGTGGCTTCTCCTGCATGTGTTTTCATCAGAATCAGTCCCAAGTCCTCAGAGGTAGGGCATCTCCCAACCTGAAAGCTGTCCCCCAGCTCAGGCATCTCCTAATACAGCTCAATATCCTGCTTCTCTAGGTACAGCCTTTTGCTCCTCTTACAATCTTACTCAGGCTCTTACTGATGTGGGATTCCCCTCTGTATGCTGTGAATATCATTGGCTAATAAAGGAACTGCTTTGGGCTTATAGCAGAGCTATATGGGAAGAGAATTAGGTGGGGAAAACTAAACTGAATGCTGGGAGAAAAGAGGCAGAGTCAGAAAGAAGCAATGGAGCTCCACTGGAGTCAGATGGAACTTTAGCCAGTAAGCCACAGCCACACGGCAATACACAGATTAATAAAAAAAAAAAAAGGGTTAGATATATATGTAAGAGTTAGCCAATAAGAAGCTAGAGCTAATGGGCCAAGTAGTGATTTTAATTAGTACAGTTTCTGTGTGATTATTTCGGGGCTAAGCAACCAGGACAAACAAGCAGCCTCCTTACTACATCTTATATTCTGCCCAATGTCAGAAAACTACGTTTCAAATGCCATTATTCACAGGTAGAAATTCAAGTCCCACACAAGTTTCT